TTTCCAAAGCATTCACTTTTTTTATAAGGCATTTTGACTGATTAGTTTGATTGATATTCTTGTTTCTTTTAAATATGAAAAGTTTTCAACTTCTTTTGCATAAGCATATCATTATAAGGTCTTTAATCTCCCTTGCTCCTTGTATTTACTTATGCCCTTGTTTTACTTCCTTGTTAGCCATTTCCTTTTTCTCTGTATGACTTGTTGGAGCAAAGTCTACCATTGTACAATGTGCTTAGGAAGCATGTGAGACGAACATCAGGCCTTTCTAAGAGCCCATTACCGCCTCCAGATATTCCAGTTCCTGCAAATAAGAAGCTGCTTGCATGGGTTGGAGATGAGATTCTACCTCGTGAAAGTGCCAAGGTATGAGGTGTGATTATGGGAAACTTTGGATCCACTGTTCATGAAGTTACACTGAAGTGAATGTCTTGTGACTTTTATCAGGTTTCTGTCTTTGACTCAGTAGTCCAAGGAGGTGATTCAGTCTGGGAGGGACTTCGAGTGTACAATGGGACGATATTTAAGCTTGAGGAGCATTTAGATAGGTTAGTTAAAGACTGGTCAAACTTTTGGCAAGATTGGCACTCACCACGTCATGATGACATATATGTACAACGGGCATGTATTGGCTTATTTTTTATAAGGGGTGTCAAACTAAATTGGGATTCAAAATGTCGTGGTAAGATTTGTTCCTGAAGTTTTAATATCAGCTAAGTTGGAACCATTATACTAACATATCAATTGACCATGCGAATAGTAACCTTGAATACAATTAAGAAGGTCTATAACTAGATTTAAACAGACTGATCTTTATTTGTTAATAATTTTTATTTTCTTGTTTATTTCTTCTTCTTGTTTATTTATTTTTTAATGGCACAGGCGCAGCTGATAATGTGCTCTCTCCCCTATGTTCTTTTGGTGCCTTCCATTAGTTTCAAAAGTGGCTTCCTTCGCTTCTCTTGAAAACTACTGTTTTTTTCAAACTGAAAAGAGATTCTTCATTTCGCATTTCATCTCCTCTTGTGATTTTCTTATTGGTGGCTGGACAATAGAATCCCCCATTTCTGAAACAATCTGATTTGGGTTTACTTTTCATTAGGTTGTTTGACTCAGCCAAGGCACTGGCTTTCAAGAATGTTCCAACTCGTGACGAGGTTAGTGTTTGGAGATTTGAATTTGTTTAGCTATGTTCAAGGCTGTTGTCTCAAGTGAAAAGAATTTATTTGTTTTCTCGCGAGTTTGGAAAGATCAGTTCAACTTCGTAGCAATTTGCTCTGGTTTCAGGTCAAGGAAGCCATCTTCAGAACTCTAATTAGGAATGGAATGTTTGATAATGCGCACATCCGACTATCCCTTACACGGGGAAAGAAGGTTTAATATCTCTTTCTACTCTCTGGTTTCTCTCTCCTTCCCTCTCTTTGATTAACAAATTGTAAAAATAAAAATACCTTTAAGTGGGAGTACCAATCTCAACTCTGTTCCTTCTGCGATTTCTTGATGGAGCTGGGGTGTGAATTTAAAACCTGCCTCCTCTTGGACAAGTCCATGACCATGACCATTCTTAAAGTTGATATTATGAGTTCTTTATTCCTAATAACTTTTCACACTGTATTTTTTCACTACTTCCTCGTTTGCTTTCTTTTTATCAGGTCACTTCAGGCATGAGCCCAGCATTTAATCTTTATGGATGCACCTTAATTGGTAAGGCTAACTCTTTGTTTTCAATTGTGTGAAAATAGAACTGCTTTGTTAATGGCCTTTGTCTTTCGGGCACATTATTAAATTTGCTATTATCAAATGTGTGGCTGATGTATAAAATGGAAGTGCTCTCTTATTTTCTTATTTTTTATGTCAGTCTAAATGTATATTCTCTCTCGTTTTCTTTCTCCTTTCCTTCCTTTTCTTCTTCTTGTTTTTTTGGGTAAGCTTATAATAGAATTTTCCATGATTGTTCAATTTCCATCTTTTGATGCTCTCACTATTTCACCTGAAATGCAGTGCTTCCTGAATGGAAACCGCCCGTCTATGATAACACTCATGGCATAACTCTGGTGACTGCTACAACACGGCGTAATTCACCCAATGTAACACAATTTTTGTTTTTAATTTTCTTAAGTTACATTAAGCAATCAAATATACATCTTGCATAGCTTCTATATCTTCACATGGCAGTGATTGCTAAAGTATAGAGATATATGGAGAGAGCATATGGACTATGGCCAACAAAATGGTGGCCTGCCATGTAATTTCTTAAGGAATAGCTAGTATAAACATGGTTACACTGATCACTTCAATAAACCAATGTTGAAAATTTATTGAACCTTTCTATGATTTATTTATTTATTTTTGTATTTTTCCAGAATTTGGATTCAAAGATTCACCACAATAACCTCCTCAATAACATTCTAGCAAAGGTATTCTTGCACTAAAATATTTCTGATTATATGATGTGATTCCCTCATCTTCCATATATATGGATTGATTTTCAGATTTTTATTTCTGTTTAATGTTGTGGAGTTGACTGGATATTTTCTGGCAGTAGATCAGTCAATTACCATGGGTTTGTATTTCTGTTGAATTTTGATGTAAACTTAATAATTCATTTGTTATGGTGCAGGTAGAAGGAAATAATGCGAATGCAGATGATGCAATTATGCTTGACAAGGATGGTTATGTGTCAGAGACAAATGCTACAAATATTGTAAGTCTATCTTATGTTACAGTTTCTGATGCCTGATGTAATCATGTTGATGCGAAGTGCAACAATTTTCGTAAGAATGTAAGTACAAGAATCCACATTATACAGTACTGTCGGGCACCAGCATTTCCACCCCAATAATAGAGCCTTCAAATGCATTGGTTTTCTTGTTTTGCTTTTGATTGAAGAAATTCTCATCAGCTTTTTTTTTTTTTTTTTTTGAGAGAAGAATGTAATGCCTGTCCCATGCATGATGAAGTGGCAAATTATGCTAGAACAAAGGATGGTTATGTAGTCTATGAGCACAAAAATGCTACAATATGGTGATAGCTTCTTTCTTATGTTACAAGCCTTTCTGATGCCCGACTGTAATCATTGTTGATGCGAAGGTGAACAATTTTGCGGTAAGAATGTAGGTTATGCGATACCATAAATTCCACACTTTATACAGTAGTGTCGGGCCACCAGCATTCTACCACCCCAGATTCAATAGATGCCCTTCAAATGCCCATCTGCGTTTCTTATTTTGCTTTTGATTGAAGATTCTCATCAGCTTTTTTTTTTTGTTTTTTTTTGTAGTTTTCAGTTGAAGATCAGGTGACCATAGAATTATATTATACTCCTCATTGCTCGATTAAGTTGCCTTTCCCTTAAATCACTCTGAGCTCTACCTCTGACTCAGAGTTGGCTTGAACTTCTGTGACCTAGATTCTATTGAGTAGTAATGTTTTTTTTTTTTTTTTTTGTAGTTTTTAGTGAAGAAAGGCCGTGTTTTAACTCCTCATGCTGATTATTGCCTTCCTGGAATCACTCGAGCTACTGTAAGTTGCTGAACTTCTGTACTAGTCATGGTAGTATGTATTCTGTACCTTGAAATCATGGATTTATATTCCATTACAACTCACACCAGGAGTAAATATAGCTGCAAAAATGACAGTGGATAAGTTTATGAGAAAATTATCAAAAAAAATGAGGTTCATGATGATATAAAATTATCCAAAATTTGATGGTAGCTTCATAAACTTTCTTGTATTCTTGACAAAATATTTTAATCTGGTGAAGATACGATCAATTATTTTTGAGGTTGCAGGTTATGGACCTAGTAGTAAAAGAGAATTTGGTCCTAGAGGAACGAAATATCAGTCTATCAGAGTTCCATACTGCAGATGAGGTATGTCATTGCTCAGATATTCTCTGCAAAATATGAGACAATTCTCATCCCCTGAAAATCTGAAATAGGTCTTTCCTTCTATTTTTATATACATATTGTAACAATGGGAATCTTATGCCATGCAGGTATGGACCACCGGAACCATGGGAGAGCTTACTCCAGTGAGTGCCTTATTTTTTGAATATAAATTTCACGATCATAATTTCTCTGAGCATCTGATCAATTTCGAATAAAAAAGAAAGTAAAACAGTCGTCCATATTCTGATGAGTAATACAAACTTGCTAAACATACTGTAACAGGTTGTCAAGATTGATGGACGTGAAGTTGGAGATGGTCAAGTAGGCCCTGTGACACACAGGTTGCAAAAAGCTTATAAAAAGTTGACAGAGGAGGCGGGAGTGCCTATTCCATCTTACCAAGAATGAGAAAGCAGCTTGTAGAAGGCCGTACGATCATTTCTTCGGTTCCGGATCTTCCTCCAAAGAATGAAGATTTCAAGGTTCCAATTCTGTAATGGGGAATAAGTAGATGTACAAGCTTGTATGCTCTCTCTGTATCTTAGTGATTGGAGAGTTCAGATGTAGGGGATGTCATATTGCACCTTTGAAATAGATAAATTGGAATCCAATGGCGATTAGGAGTATAATAATATCTTTAACTCTATTTATACATGTAATAATACAACACTTAATTCTTGGATTTTACCTTTTTGCAGGGTTTGGTAATGGCAAATCAAGAATTAACATTAGAGATCCAAACTAATCCTGATAAACAAGTTTCAAGTCTCGTCGATACACCTCATGGATTCTTAATGTTAAGTGAAAAAACCCGATAAACATCAGAAATCAAACAATGACTAATGAAAATTTTATTTTCTGATATTAACATTATTTTTTCAATGTTTTTTGTATAGTCCATTTATTTCCCAATTTATTGAACTACGAAATCAAAATTTTGGTCTTTCTCTCTGGATTTATAAATACACATCCTTGAATGATTTGTTGATTTTAGTAATCAGATTATCCTCCTAGTATATTTTACTTTATAATACACATGCATAGATTATGATTAGCATGTAATTAGATATATAATAACTCCTTGTGGACCCTGCTAATGGGAATCAATATGTTGCCATTAATTATTTGTATTCATACATGCAAATTGCATAAGCTGAAACTAACAAGCTACAATGTCTGTGTTATGGTGTATTTATATATAATCTATAATTACACTGTGGAGTGGGCCAAATTGATGTTAGCAAAATTCAAAATTTTCTGCAATGTACTTATCATTTTCTTGAATGTAATTGTCCTTGTTCTTGTTAGTGACTTGCTTTTATTATATCTTTTCTTCTTTATTCTGTTTAATAAAAGCAAGATCAGTACTTCTGCTGCTATATATGTATACACACATTTGCATATAACTCTGCTTGCATTTGAATATATAATGCAAACCCTAATCTTGCCTCTTCTTTCTGTTTCAATTTCTCTTCTGTATGGACTTTTAACTGATGATAAGCTCATATCTCTGAGTCATTTGTGTTTTACAATCACTTCCACCATTAATGCATGCTTTCACATTTCCTCCTTTCTCACAAGACAATTTTCCATCACTGTTACAATATTTGAACATTCAGAGAGAGAGAGAGAGAGAGAGAGAGATTGGAATCCTTGAACCCTAATTTTTCACTAGAAAAAAACAAGCAGAAAAAAACAAATGGGAAGAAAGAGAGTCTACAGTTTTACAACTTAGAATCTTCTAAAAATCCTTAGAATTGCAAGATATGTAGGCTTAGGCTTGTAAAATAACCTTTTAAATGTAAATATAATAATAACAAATAGTAGTAATTAGGTTATGGCCCTCCTATATAAAGTTACACAGTAAGAAACATCCTCCTTAGATCATTTTACATTCACTCAGCTACAGTAAAAAATCATTTTACTACACTTAAAAAGCTTTTTAGCATATTGCCTGTAAATTTTTCTTTGAAAAGGCTTAAAGTAATAAATTTGATTTCTTTGGCAATTTTGATATTTATCTCATTTTAAAGTGTGACCATGTGAGCTTCTCTTGTCTTGTTATTGAAAGTGCATAAGGGTTAATTGCAGCTACCCCCACATAATTTCAAACAAACAAACAAATTTAAATACACTGTAACTCCTAAAAATCAAAAATTTCTCCTTCCATTTCTGTCATATTTACATAAAATAGACTACCTCAAGTATATTAATTATGTCTATCATATTAGCTGTAAACTAAATAAATATTATTAAAAAGATTAAACTTTTACATTCATTAATCTTAAAATTTAAGTGTAAATTAATGATATTTCTTTTTATTTTTTTTATGCAAAAGAGTTAATCTTTATATATGGGAAATCAATATAAAATATATATATATATATATATATAAAGCATGCAGGCAGATTTTCCCCTAATATTGCCACGTAGGATTCCAAATTAATGACATGTATAATGCTTTAATTGTTTATCTTTGTATTTATTTGAAAATAAATAAATTCATGATTGTTTATGAATTGAATTAAAACGTCTTAAATGTAATTGATTAATTTAACATTAGGAAATGAATAATTGATTAATATAACGTTAGAGAATTATCACTATAATACTATACAACGCCATCGCAAGGCAGAAATTTCTCTCCCCTAATAATTGCCCACGTAAGGACTTCCCAAACTTAACATCGCACATTATACATCGCCTTTAAAACTTGCTTTACTCCTTCTTGTATTTTAATCTTGACCACAATAACAATAAATATTTCATGATTGTTCTTTCATCGAAATTTGAATTAAACACGCCTCTCTAACACTCGTCTACTTCTGGATTAATTTAAACCATTAGGCAATGAATAACTTTGATCTAACTATACACCAAACGCTTAAGACGAATCATAAGCATATCTAAGTACACAATTTATAATACTAACTTCTTACACGGCCACAACTCTAAACTTATCTTACACCGTATTTCTAGATTCTCTTTCAATCTAGAATTCTTTCAGAACATCTAACTCTAAAATATAATCACATTCAATACAAAATCTCACATTACAAAATTACTAATTTTCTAAGAATTTCTAATGATCATCTCCGACAACTTTAATTATCTCTATATTACAACAAATTCAAATACTTTTTATCTAAAATATAAACTTAATATTATATTAAGATATATCATATGACTTCAATTTACAATCGTCTACGAGCAATTAATAAACCACTGATACACCATTGATCAAGTTTAATAACACACTTTATCTCTAACTTATTTATTCATGACATTTTTCTCACTAATGAGACTTAATTTCTTTCATTCTACACTTAAATTCTCTAACTTCTTTTACTACATAACTACATCTAAAAATCACAGGTTACTACCTCCTATTTTTATAACCTCATAATTATCTTTCTTATCACATATTCGTTTTTATATCAACCATACAGAAAAAATTTCAATCCCAAGACAATTCTACAAACATCAAATTATCAATTCTTTCATTCTTCTACTACCTTATCACCCTTTTCATTCTTTTACACCGTCAGCCAATATACCGTATTACCATAGCCAGCGTGCCTAGTCTTTTCAAAAAGAAGCTCGTAGTCCATCTTACATCAGACTACCAAACAATTTACCCTGGATCGCGTAAGCTGATACTTGACCATGCATTCTGGTAAACTGTCAGTCTTTCTCTTTCTTTCTTCATCCCAATTCTCATGCTTCATCAAGTTTTCTCTTTTCTCTTTTTTTAACATCTTTCTCTTACCTTTTCTTCTTTTTCTTTTTTTCATTTGATGATTAAAATGGGCACCTAAGGAAAAAGGAAAGTATATCATCCTTCTTTGCTCGCATAATAGTATAGGCATCCTACATAAAGATCAAGCTCTCATAGCTATTTAAATCCTTTCCTTATACTACCACTTCGAAAATATATCACTATATATTATAGCCAACCAACAGGTCAGATGGAACCTGTCTTCGGATCAACCTCTTATTCTCCTTATCATTCTGCTTCTCCTGAAGACATTAACATCCCCACCCCAGTTCCATCAATCAACCTTTCTTTGCCTTGCGGGCATTCCCCGCATGACACTCTCGTCATCCCACCTCACTGTGGGGCCTATAATTCTAATCCTTCTTTATCTGCCTCAACCATGAATTTTTGATTCTCCGATCGCCCACACCGCAATATATCAATACAACGACCAAAAGAAAAGAAACAGACAGAAAAGAAATACGCCATTCTCTACTCTCCAAGAACACATCGCCTGCCTCAAACACTATTCTTCTCAAAATTAAAAAAAAAAATTGGCTTTCTTGATTTTTTCTTTTTTTTTTTTTTTTCATTTATGAGTTAAATGGATAGGAAAAAGAAAGTATATCTTGCTGCATAAATAGTATAGGATCTAATAAAGATCAAGCTTATAGTATTTATTTTCTATATAACTTGAAAATATATATATATATATAGCAACACCAGGTCAGTGACCTGTTCGGATCAACTTTATTCTCTTTCATTCTGTTCTCCTGAAGACATTAAATCCCCACCAGTTCATCAACTTTTTGCCTTGGGATTCCGCCATGAACATTGTACCACCTTCATGGGGCTATAATTATCTTTATTGCTCAAATGATTTTGATTTGATGCCACAGATATATATAAAGAAAAGAAAAGAAAAGAAGAAAAGAAAATAGCCATTCTCTATTCTAGACATGTGCGTACAAAAATATTTTCAAAATTAAAAAAAAAATTGGTTTCTTGATTTTAGTTTTGCTTCTTTCTGGATGATAATACATATAGAAACATATGATCTTTTAACTGTTAAAAAAAATGCAGTGATGCAGAGAAAGCTTATTATTAGCTCTTCTAAAGCTGTTTCATGGCAGCCTTCTCTGTCTCTGTTACTACTTCACCTTCATGAAGCTTTTGATAGATTTTCTTTAAGCTTTTTCTGATATCAAAATCTTGATTTCTCATTCTATAATAAGCTTATTATAAATAGTAAGTAATTGAAGTCTGCATGTGAATATCAAGTACATGTTTCTAATAAGAACAAGGTTTACACAGAGAGAGAGAGAGAGTGCATATAGTAACACAAAACAAGAAGCTCATGTAAAATCAAGAAAGCAAATAGAAATCTTGAAAATCAGATAGAGAGGGAACAAGATTGACAGATTTGAAATGTTTAATTGGTAAAAGTTTGATCTATGGCCCATTTGAGTATTTATATATATATGTATATTAGATATAAATAATAATAATAATTGGCAAGACATGAGAGAAAGGTTTGAATTGACCAAGCATTTATGTATGGGTGATACAGAAGATGCCTCTAATAACCCAAAAAAAGGCAAAGGAGAAAACAGTTGCAAACAGAAACCTCCAAATTAGACCAACCAGAGCAAAGCTAACACTAAGATCAAATGGGAGAAACATTAGTTGAAATGATCCTTTCAAAGTCCTTCCTAAAAATCAAGAAATACCCACTTACAGTAAGCCAATATCAAAATCAAATTTCAGATTAAAACTTAATTAACTCATCATCACATCACTGAGTACTCTTCTTGAATCCTACCTAGCATCTCATACACTGCTGTTGCTATCTCATCCACTGAACTCAGATTACAGTCATCTTCTACCTGCATTCAATTTATATATGACAAGATGATTAAAACATTTTCTTGATTAATTACTTTTTGTTAAAGAGATTCGATTAACTGAATCAACTTACTAACCTTGACACTGAGAGAGTAAAGCACAATTTGATCGAGAGTTGTGACGTTTAAATGCAGAATAGTGAGTCTCATGCTATGCAACCCAGAAACTATCTTCAACAGTTGCTTTGGTCTTCTTTTTGATCTTATTTTAACATTTGCATGACTTTCCACCATTGTCACTTCTATATCTGCTATACTTGACTCAGTTGTCGCGCTCATTGTTTCGTTTACACCTGTTACTGAGCTGTCAGACCGAGTTGTTGAGTACTGTGGAAATGTAAAGAAGTCAGAAAATGGCAGAGGACACTCTTCGCCTTGAGATTTTTCTTCTTTTACTTGTTTTTCCCCTCCAAGTAATTGCAGTCGTTGCTCCAGCTCCTTCACAAAATTAATGGCGCCTCCTATTATCGAAGCTTGGTCTCCCTGCAAGTTAAATTATTAATCTGAGTGACAATTATGTACTGTAATTTCATCGACCGTATTTCCAGACAAACTTCACCTGTAAAGTAGGGTTGGTGGATGGTACGGAAAGTAAAACGATAATGATGAGAAATTTAAAAGAAAAACTTACCCTTTGAACATAAGAGTCGGGCATTAAAGATCGGAGAACAGAGAGATACTCATTCATTTGCTTTCTTCGATTTCGCTCGACGGCAATGTGAGTCATTCTTTGATTCTCAATTTCTTCTTTGTTTTTCCTACTTCTTGAACGACGTCTCTTGGCTCGAGCAGGCATGGTGGATGGCGACTCTAACAACTGATTGGAATCATTGTTAGGTTCAGAAGATGGGTTGATTTGAAGCATTTCACTTAAATGAGGCATTATGGAAGGTGGTGAAGAAGAAGAGTTGTTCCAATCTCCATGGAGGCCGTTTTCCGTTTGGTTATCAAGAAAATTCTCAAAACAACCTGCAGCTTTATTATAATCATGATGATCTTCTTTTTCCAGTTGGCCAAATTCATAGCTCCAATTCCCTCCAAGCAAATTGTAGAATTCCTTAGTACTGTGACCAAACAGGTCTTGTTGATAGACCACAGCTTCTAGTGCCATTCCTTTCTTTTTTCTTTTCTCTGCTAGAAAAAGAAAATATATAAATCTTTAAATTCTTCCTTTAAATGCAAAACATAGCAAAATGTACAGAAACCTCCCGAAAAGAGAGAGGGTGTTTGCTTTTTGGGTGCTATGGCTGGAGAAAATGAGCTTTTAAAGACCTTATTACTAATCTACAGGATCTATTGCACGTGAAATAGTATATAATTTTAGAGAATTATACCAAAAATATGAGTTTTTCTTTCAACATATATTAAATTGAGATATATATAATCCACGGGATATTGATTGAGATGAAAAACTTCATTTCCGGTATTCCCGGTAAGGATGAAATACAGATTTAATCTTCGGAAAACAAATTTATTGATTGTTATTTATACAAAAACGAGTATTTCAATATACGTCAATTGACGCTGCCAAATTTATTTATGATGTATATACATCTTATATTAAGTGTTAAGTGACTTGATGCACCAAAGATACACCTGTCATTTCCAACATATGAACCCAAAAATTGATTTTTTAAAAAAACAAATTCCATTAATTGACTGAAAATGATGTTTAAAAAAATGGGAGAAATAACTAAATTGAGACAAAATTTGATATGAAGATTGTTCTTGTTTCCTATGAACATGATAGAGATGTAATTTTCTTTTATATTGTTTTTTTCTATATTATGCATTCCCACTGAAATTGACAACTGGGAGCATTTCTGGTGCATTGTATCCTTAGAGCTGCCTCATCGATCGGTCATTGATGAGTAGTGACATTCTGGCACAATATATTATGAAAAAAATAATATTGTCGACAAGTGTATATATGTAAATATAAATTAACAGACGGTTTGATCAGTGAAAATAAATTAATAATTTTTCATAGAGATATATGTAGAAAAATACTAAAATTTATGATTAAAAATTCATTAATAAATGTTCTTAACATCTATTGCTTCCATTTGTGTTACTATTAATTATGAATCTCAATCGATTAAAAAAATTATAGAAAAGGTAATATCTAGATTTTCCCATTTCAATTCTAAGAAAAATATTCACACTTAATTAATAAAAAAAAATGTATGTTTATATATATGGGATTTCAATATACTTTTATGGGATCCAATTTCTTTCTAAGATATGAAAAATTTTATTATTATTTATCTCAATATCTTAGTTTAATATTATCATTTTCATTTGGAAATTAAATACTATACTAAAAAAATTAATTTCTTTTTTTTTTTTTTTTTTTTTTTTTCCTCATCTAATAAATGTCTCTTCAACATCTACTTGGCTTTTCCATTTGTGTTCACTATTTCCAATTATGACATCTCGAAACCCCCCATCGATTAAAAAATTCATACGAACAAGGTTAATCATCTGACTGATTATTTATCCCATCTTCTCAATTCTCAAGAAAAATATTCACACCAACTTAAAATTAATACAAAAAAAAAATGTATGTTTAATACTAATAACTGGGATTTCATAATACATTTTCTATCGGGACTCCATCGTCCTTCTTCTAAGCATACTCGCAAAAATCTTTATTCATTATCTACTAATCCTCCAATATCCTTTAGCTCCCTTAAATACATTATCATTTATTCCTGGAACTCTCAACACACTATACTAAAAAAATCTAACTTTCTTCTTTCTTTTTTTTTTTTTCTCACTTTTTCAGGAGCCCTAGAAAGAAAAAAAGTCTCTACACCTGTGAAATCGCTAACGATCACTCAATCGCCCCTGTAATTTTCAATGCTTCATCCAAATTAAACCAGAAACATCACGGTCTAATCAATAGAGAAGAAGAGGCTACACGAAGTCCGCATACACACTCTCCGAAGAAAGCGCGCCTACGAAAGCAACCGCAAAATATTTTTTTTTTTTTTTTTTTTTTTGGAGCTAGGAAAGAAAAAAAGTTAATGTGAATGCTCAGTCACTAATGCCTGTAATTTTTCATGCTATCAAATTAACAGAAAATAGGTTAATAATGAGAAGAAGAGGTACAGAGTCGATACACTCTCGAAGAAAGCGCGTAACGAGCAACGCAAAATAAGAGCCAAGAAATTGGAAAACGAAAGCAGAAAGTGAGAAACACGACAATATGTGGAGAAGAAAAGAGGAAGGTTAAATGGTCGTCATTTGGTAATAATACGGTCGGTCGTACGACTCCTTTGATCGATATTCGTGAAAGAAAGGGAGAAAGGAAGAAAAAAAGGCGACTCTCTCTCTCACTGAGCCAAAGCAGAGATTCTTACAGTGATCATTGAGGAGTCATGAGAGAGAGAGATGAAACAAAAGAAAACAAACAAAAGAAAGAAAGAAAGAAACCCTAAAGAGATGAGAGAAGCTAAAAAGTTGTATAGCTTTAGTTTAGTTTTTTTCAGACAGTGTACAATACATACGTACATACGAAGAATGGATGTTTGGATGGATGGTGGTTAATCCTTAATTATTTTGGTTAACGTCAATTAACGGAGAAAGCAAGTTTTGATTGATTAATTAACAAAAATAATTAATTGTTTCATCTTTTTAAACATGATCTTATCTATCTCTTTTGGTTGTTAGAGATAAGAGATTTTAATCCAACCTTTTGTCCTTTTTGTACATTTTGGTTGGGTCAGGTTGCTATCATTTCATTGCTTTCTGCATTAACTAATAATAATAATAATCATACTGAGAGCTCACTAACTAACAGTGGTTACACTTGCACATTCTTAACTCATAAATGCTAATCGTTGGATAAAATTTTAGTAGCCATCGCCGTTAAAATATTAAAATTTATTTATTTTTTATAAGATTAATATAATCCAACTAGCAATAAGAAAAAAATTTTAAATATAATTAATCAAATGTGTATCAATTAATTATCAGTTGTTATTTATTGAAATTCTCACTAAATATTTTCAGTCTAGACAGACTATTCTTTATTTCGTACGAGAAAAGGCTATCACGGTCTTATAATTTTAAACTAGAATTATTCTATGAATATATTTTTAAAGAACAAGAGTATGTCACTACCCCATTGGCTCAAATTAAATAATGAATATTGTTTAGTTTAATAAGAAAGAAACAAACTAAATTAATTAATTAATAGATTTTGTTAAGAATGAATTCCAAATAGAGAAATAAACCAAAAAAAAAAAAAGGATTAATAGTCAACTCCTCTAATCTCTCCAATCCAAATTATACCTAATTAATATATAGTAATTAATTAAATCTGGATTAATGATTAATTTTGAGTAGCCAATCTAAAACTATGGTTAGACCCAACTGGGTCTAGTTTGAATGTATCAAATATATGGTTGTTTAAGAGATTCGCATGACTATGGAGTCTTCTTGCATATAATCCCTTTCGTTTTGTCCAAGATTGTTAGAGATCCTATATAGCTACCTATACGTGCATGTCTACCATATTATTAACCAATTAATCAATCATTTGCATTTTTTTTAATCCATTAATTAGCTAATCTCATGTAATGCTAACGTACCCTTTAATTAAATTTTTTACATTTAACCTTTTTACTCATCCTAGCTACCATTTCTTTAATTATGCAATACCATAGCTTAATTATTTCTGGCAGCTTTTGTGCAATAATTCAAATTTTTTTTTATTTTTTATATAATTAGAAGATGTAATTTCTTTCGGTCATGTTTTTCTATTCGCAGTAAAATGCGTTTTTTTAGAATAAAAGTAATGGCATTGAAATCGCTTACCAGCTCAACAAACATGTTATTGGTTTTAAGGATTTTTTTTTAAAAATATATAAAAGTATCAAAACAATTGAAGAGAAGACAAAAAGACAAATTTGTATAAGAAAAGAACATGAATAGCATCTTGATTATTGATAATCTGAGCTGGTCGATAACATGCTGTGGCCTATTTGCGGCCAAGAAATCCAATCTAACCCATACCCATTTGCTTCCCAATCGTGTTGTTGCTATTTTTTTATGCTAGATTCGATCCTAGGACACCATATTTGATTGTGTGTGTATATATATACTCTTGAATTAAACTAAAAATACATGATTATTAATTTTTATTAACTCCTTTTAATAAATAAATAAATAAATAAATAAAGCAATATGGGATCCTACGTAAGGGTAAATGAAATGAAAGAAATGTCATGGTTGAACGTCAGCATGTAATAGCAGGTTATTAAAATCTATATAAAGCAGAGAAGCAAACCCGATAACATTAATTAGGCATTAGTCCGGTGAATACCGATTACCAGTTCATTTAGTTAGAACTAAATTTTCTTCACAACGAATCGATCTATCGAGGATTAAAGTATTTCGAGTGAGTATTTATTTTATTCATAAGAAACGAACGCTCAACTATATTTAAGAAAAAAGAGTGTTAAATCACTTAACTCATCTTCTAGTTAACCTAAATATACTTAAACCTAGTTTAGTTTAAATATCATCTAGTTATGCGAAAAAACTAATGGCAGTCAGAATCATACATATGAGATCAGACACGTAGCATGACTCATTTATATAATAATAAAAAAGACCAAGTCAACCATCTCTGTTGCATTTAATTTGAAAAAACAAAGTCAACTTTATTAATTAATTACAGATGGTATATATAACTAAATAAGTCATCTCAGAAGAGAAAATGAAGGTGCAAAGTAGGGTTTTGGTGAGGTTTAAGATTTGAAATGGCAGAAACTAGAGGGAGTCGGTGAGGATGCATTAAAAGCAAATGGGGGCCAATTAACCACCACCGGCCGTAGGGGTTACCGGCAACTTTGTCAGTATCAGTCCAAGCTGGGAAAGAAAACAAAATTAGATTTCAAGGATTTAGATTTTGTTGTTGCTCATTAAGGTGGAAACTCTCTCTATCTTCTTTTGGTCTATTTTAGGGTTTGTCCCTTCCTTCCTTCCTAATACTCTCAACTAATTTTATTTTATTTCTTAACTTCCCCCACCACCCCCCACCATCTTTTTTTATTATTATTATTTTATTCAGTAAATATTACCATATCATAAATTTTTATACAGACCGTTATATAATTTTGACATTTTCAAAATTGAAATTTGACCGCCATGAACAAGTTCTATGTAGGAAAACTATAATGGGTTAAAATATTTTTTATAGTCGGGTCCGAAATGCAAATCTTAATTAAAAAAAATCTAAATTTTCTTAAACCCTAATTTAGTCAATTAATGTTGGACGTTGCAAATAAAAAGAATTGAAAAGGGTATATTCCTAAATGAAACTGAAAAGACGA